GTCTGAGAATCGAATGCACCAGTCAGTATGAAACCCAAAAACCTCATTCATGGAAAAAAAATGAAAAATAAAAATCTCTCAGAGCATCCCAGGCAGACTCTGCCCTAGGCCAGGCCATGCCACTGTGAGCTGCTGGCATCTTCACTGAGAACAAACAGGATTATATACACAAACTCTTTTCTAGTATGAAAATAATTGCACATGAAAGATACCCATAGACATCATCTTGTAGCCATTAAAGAAGTGAAATGAAAATATATGATAATATAGCTGGAAGTTGGCCAGTTCATGGTCCTAGCAACATGATTATTCATTACTGGTGACATCAGATGTACAAGGAAATCTTTGGTACAGCACTGTGGTAGCATTTAATATGAATCATTAAGAAAATCATGTGTTTGGTACAACAATTTCAGACTCTCTGACTTGTCTCTAAGGCAGTATTTTCCTTAACAAAACAAAACAACAACAAAAACATGCCTGAATAGGAAGGCCTGCCTCAAAAGAGAGAGGGGAGTAGTAGTTCATTGTTATTAAACTAAGAGAACAAATCTCTCTCTGGGTTACTTGGTGACTTGGGCATGTGACACAATTTCTTCATATTTTCTTTTCTTCATGAGTGTATTAACAATGAAATCCAAATTGTGAGTCAAACAAGTGTGCAAATACTATTTTGTATCTGTAATATGGCTGATGTGTATGGTGTAATTGCAGTCCCAGTGTAATTGCAGTCAGCACGTCTTTAAGGAGGGTGATTTTACCACATGGCATCAGGGGAGTAAGACTAATATGGCTGTGACATGCTGTCCACTTAAAAAAAAACACCTAGTAGAACATTTTGAGCATTCTCAGAGGAAGCCAGGTTTATTGGAGAATACTCAATAAAAACAAAGGACAGAACAAAAACTGAGGTCATTAGCTCACAGCCATGTAAACCAAGCAAGACAGATATCTAGAGAACTCTCTGCTGCAGTGGCTGCATGGGGTGGTTTGCAAAGTAAGTCTTTAATCTCCTGTTACCTTTTTAATTAAAAAATGTAAAATTATAACAATGATAATTCTCTTTATGCTGCTTCCTTTGACTTTGAATTCCAGTGCGCTGCAAAAATCAACAGAGCTGGAATGCAGGTGCATGTGATAAGCTATGCCCTGTGAGGGCTGGAAGCAAGGGGTGTGGTCTGCTGCATGCTCACCTGCCCTGGAAGCTGGGCTGCCTTCACCAGCTCTAGCATCTCTGCCCTGGTCCTGTACCTGGATACTGCAGACATTATAGTTCCCTTCTGAGGAAATTGTCTCACCCGAGGTTCTTTCTTTTCTTTGTCTTCTTTCTTCCTTCCTGCTTCCTTTACCTTTCATTTCTATTAATTATGATTTTTTTCTAAACATAAGTTTATTGCAGTAGGGCTGAATATGCAAACTGTCCATATTTAACGTAGAGGATATGATGATTTTATATGTAAGCATAGACCCATGAACTAGTATAACAATAAAAGTTCTATCCTGCTCCGTTGTTTTGCTCTTATTTGAATGTTGTCTTTTATTTGGTAAGAATCAGAGGGAGGAATAGGGAACTGTTGCTTAACTGGCACCCTTGTTTCTTTTCTCAGGATGCATATACTCTAGAAACCTGGTGGTGAACATGGGTATCTACTTAACAACACCATGTCACATCTTTAAATACTTCTTCAGAAAGAAAGACTAAAAAATTTATTTATTTTTTAAATTATAATAGAATTTCATCATTTCCCCTTCTCTTTCTTTCCTCTAAACCCTCCCACAACCCATGCTTGTTCTTTTTCAAATTCATGACTATTTCCTATTATTGTTGCTATATACATGTGCGTTAATAAATACATAAATACAACCTACTCATTCTAAATAATATTATTTGTTTATATATGTTTTCAGGACTGATCATTTGTTATTACATAACTCATTGTTATGCATTTACCTGAGAAGACTAGAATTTTTTTGTTGTTTTTTGGGTTTTTTGAGACATGGTTTCCCTGTATTGTTTTGGAGGCTGTCCTGGAACTCGCTCTGTAGACCAGGCTGGCCTCCAATTGAGAGATCGCTTGCCTCTGCCTCCCAAGTGCTGGGATTAAAGGCATGCGCCACACAAAGCCCAGCTAGAATTTTTTAAATGGAAAAAAAACTGGCTTGTACCTTGGTGCTAATCAACAGCTTTCTAGCTAGACTTAAGACTCACTCAACAAAAGGAAACTCATGTCTGGTACTGGAAACGTGTCAACCCCCCAGGAGTAGTGAACTCATGGATCTTGGCTAAGAATCTATAATGACCACTAAACCAGCACAGTCCTTAACTATAGTCTAAGAATTTGTCCTTAAATCCACAAGTAACTGTAGTCCTCATCTCTCATCAAAGAAACTTCCCATTGCAGTAAATGAAGTCAACACAGAAAACCACATCCAATCAAAATTCTGAGAGTTGAAGACCAGTGTGCATGCCTTTTTAATGTATGGATTTTCATCCTGTTTTTAGTAACATTTTTACTTGATTTTTATATTTGCTTGTGCTGGGATTGAACTCAGAACCTTTCATATGCTAGACAAATATTCTACAACTTATCTAAGCCTAGAGGACTAATTTATAAAACAAATGAAGCAAAAAAATAGTCTGGAATAGTTGTCATCATGCTGATCTTTTAGATAGCAATGGCCAGATGCTGTTGAGTTACTTGGCCCCACTCCTGGGCCCCTGTTCCTGGGCCAGTTACTTCGTTTATCTGTGGAACTGAGGTAATGAAAGTGCCTTACTTTGTAGATTTAGTAAGATCCAAAACTGTACCAGCAATATTAGTACCTGGAACATGGCACATGTTAATGAATTTCTTGCTCTTAATGTGAATTGTCTGTGGATAGATTAGATCTGCTTTGGTTGTCATTAGCAGGGTGTTCCAGAGGGATGGGGACCTGTTGAAGGCAAGGTACACAGTGACATAGATTGTTAATTTCAAAGATCTTGATGGATCACAGTATCTTCCTGCCATCTGTAGCTAAGACCCTGAACAATATCAGCCTTTTCTTCCTCAGTTCCTCCATTTTTAAGGGCATTCATGGTTCTTGACTCATCCATCCATTCAGTGTCAAATTTATCAGAAGGATGGAATGATGCATGGTGAGTAAGACTGATGAGTAAAGGATGACTCCACAGGTGGTTTGCCTATCATGAACAGCTCCATGTATTTCCCACTCCACAAGAAGCTGGAGTTAGTGCTAATGTGTCCTTTATAATCATAAAGCCTCTTCTATGAGAATCTTAGCACACAAGAATACTGGAGTATTAATAAACATTTAGGTGATACTTAGGTGACCATAAAAAAGAGCACCACATACAGAGTTGAATGGAGATGTCCTTCTGTATGCTGCGAATATATATTTCTCATCTTGGTTGATGAATAGAGCTGTTCTGGTCTATGTACAAGCAGGATCTAGCCAGGCAGGAAATATAGGTGGAGCTACCAGACTAGGAGAAGACTTGGAAGAGAATAGCAGAGAGACTCCATGTAGCTGCCAAGGGAGCTAGAGGGCTGGGCATCACTGGTAAGTCAAGCCAATGTAGGGATACATAGACGAATAGAAATGGGCTTACAATTAAGTGAGAACTAGCTAAATAAGAGGCCTGAGTCATCAGCCAAACAGTTTATAATTAGTAGAAGTGTCTGTGTGATTAGTTGGAACCAAACCTGCTGCAGGACCAGGCAGGACAGAAACCTCCTGTCTGCACAGATTACCATGCATTTTCCAGTTGTGGAGTCTCTACATCAAAGTCCAGTCTTTAGACTGAAGCCAGAAATCTACTAATGGCTTTTATGTAAGATGGATGTGGAAACGAAAATGCAAAAGTGTGTGATGGCAGAGCTCTCCAGTGAGAATTAGGCCCTAGGCATAACAGTCAAATTGGGGCCAGGTTTCAGGCCAAGCTCCTACATTGTTCCATTATAGAGAGAAACCTGAATTGCAGCAAGTGTGTGGTGGTAGAAGCCCTTGAGTTTATAGCTTGATATTTTATGAAGAAGATTTGTCACTCCAACAAGATTTATTGAATCTGTTTGTTTACACTTGTAACAAGTTTCTTGACTTCAACTGTAGGTCAGGTACTATTCCAGGTTCTAGTGACAGAATGAGGATGAAGATCAGTTTATTTTCTCATGGGGAGGGAGGTCTGTCTAAAGATATGGGCAATGAGCAGGTCAAACAATACACATATAATGTGATTTTAGTTGTTAAAGACTATGGAGAACAATAAGGCAAGATTAAAAAGCAGATTAACAAGGAATGGGAGAATTGCTTCAGATGGATGTTGGGTGAATTCTCAAAGGGAGGAGGGCTAAATGAAGGGGAACAGTGAGGCGTGGCAACCAGGTGAACATGGTAGCAAGGAAACCCTGCAAACTCTACCTTCCAACATCCTTTGAGTCCACAAGCTCTTGGACCAAGTTCCTATCAACAGCTTTCTGGCTCACCCAATGCCTAGAGAATTGTCCCTTCTTAAATCTCTCATTATTCCCTTGTCTGCCGTCCCATACCACCACACACCGTCTATTCCAAGCTGGCATCCAGGTATGTCTTTTAAACTCTGAGGCACAGAATGTTACTTTAATACAGAAATCCTCAGTTGCTGCCAGTTCATTGTTGAATTCGTGTGTGTGTGTGTGTGTGTGTGTGTGTGTGTGTGTGTGTGTGTGTGTGTGTGTGGTGTTAGCTCTCTATGGCCCAACAATGAACAATATGCCCCTTAATTCGAGAGGAAAAAAGCCCCTGCTGTTTCCACTGCCACCTCTCGATCTGCTAGTGTCTCTGGCCATTGTTATAATGGATCTTGAAATTCAAATTTAAAGCTGAGAGGCATTCTTATCTCATAGACTTCTTCTTTGAAAACAAGAAGAGAATACTAAGGGGAAGGGCTCATACCTACCCTGTCAGCCAGAGTAAAGACACAGCTCAAATCTTAATATTTTATAGCAACTTTATTTGTGGCTCATGAAAGTACAGGTTCAGAAGGTATGCTTATTATACTAGTCCTAAGATCTACTGGGGTCCAGAGAGTTCTGTCGGTGGTCTGAAGAATAAGAGAGAAATAAAGAATGATATGGAATATTTTGGAAACTGGCTTGGAAATACCATACACTATCTTTTATCAAATTCCATGGTTATAAGCCTTGCCTAGATACAAATTGATAGTGTTGATAATACTGCCTTATTATGACCAAAATGCCTAAAATGAACAACTTCAAGGAGGAGCAATTTATTTTGCCCATGGTTTTGAAGGTTTAGTCACTATGACAGGGATAACATGAGGGACAGCTTATATCATGGTACACAGGAAATCAGGGTGGAGCAGTTCACACTATGCCAAACAGCAGGCAGTAGAGTTCAGCTACAGCAGAAAGGGCTAGGACAAGATGCAGCCCCTAAACCCCTCCAACTAGGAAGGAAGTCCTATCACCTCCAAGGAAGCCACTGAAAATTTGAATCCATCAAACCGTCACGATCTAATCATCTCTGAAAATGCCCATGTAAACAGTCTCAGAGGTGAGCTTCACTAATATTCTCAGTATCTATCAATCCAGCCAAGGTCGACAATGAAGACCTGTCAAAGGTAGTGCCCTGTATGGCCCTGTACTCAAGAGGAAGGCCTGGGGAAGATCCTGTGCAGAGAGACTCATGGCACTTAAGTATGTTTAAGCACGGAAAATTTAGGCAAAGACAATCATATAACATGACATGGTCCAGTAGAGACACCATAGAAAACAAGATATGTTTATGGATTTGTAAGTGTTTTTTATGACTTGAAAGTAGGGGAGGTTGTCAAGAGTTGAGACTTGCATAGCAGGTAGAGTTCAGGTAATCTGGAGTCTTATTGTCATGCTGAGGTGTTTCGATTTCTGTCCTAGGGTGGAAGGGAGGAGGCCATTAAAACATTTTCAATAAAGGATTATCATATTTAGTGTAACAGTTTGGAAAAACCCTTCTGTAATAGAGTATAGGATTAACAACAAGGATACCAGTCAGGAGGTGGTTTCTTTCAGTATCTTCTATCCCAGGAATTTTCAAACATGACTCACATGTTTGATTAAGTATTTGTTGTGTTTGTAATATATATATATATGTATATATATAGTTTATGATATGCATATTCATATGCATATATATACATATAGCACATTTACACACATATATAAAATAAATTGGGATATTTCTAGTTTAGTCCATTTTACCTTTAAAATAAAGGCTGACACACAATATACTTCATTATTCACACTATAACAAATTACAAATTTTACTTTAAAAATCACTGCTGGAGCTCACTAAACAATCCCACTTCACAGCCAAAGTCCGGGCCACACTTATCCATCATGATAAACAGATTTCCCAACCATCACCCTATTAGTCAGACTATTCCTAGTGTACTTCTTAAGTACTCTTCATTTGCCTGGCACTATCAGCATTGTTGGTTGAGCAAAATGACATTAAGGCATCCTTGGTTCTCTTCTAGAACACTTTATGAGTCAGATTAAAGATGCCGGTGCTCTTCACAATAAACCTGATGTAGTCTTTTCTCTTGTTTCCCTTCTTCTTTAAAGACAGGGTCTTCTTAGTTGTTTTCAAATTCAATATCCTCCTATCTCAGCCCCATAAATGCTGTGGTCACACGAATGTGCCTCTATGATTAGCTAGGAGGCTGTTTTAATTTTTTACATTTAGTCTTTTATAGGTATACACTGAAGTCTTCCAGAGGCTACATAATGAGCAATGAATGGACCATTTTTATCTGATGGCTAAAACAATATAAGGTGTGTTTATTGTCATCTTTCATTTTTTATTTTTTAATGTCTAGTATGTTAAATATTGATCTACATAATTCTTTCACTGAAAATCTCAATGCACTTTAAGAGTGCACCAGAGGTCTGAGACAATGAACGGGCACTTGGAATCCATGTCTTTGTATCCTTATTTATTCTTAATGACCTGGCATGATTTTTGTCACCCTGGACAGCTGTGAACACTGTTAGCTGTCATCTGGTTCTCTGTGTCAACAGTTAACAGTGCCCTTCCTCCTGACCCCCCAAAATAGCTGCACCATCATTTCTGAACTCACTGTTTCTGGACCTGACAAGAAGATTCATTCTTCACCTCAGGCCTTTGCACTGAACAACACAACTCAATTAAGTAGCTGAATACTGAAGTGTGCCAGAAGTCTAGCACTACGTTCCTTTGTGACGCTGTCAGAACTCATGTATTAGTCATCTCAGTCCTGTCTTTAATCACTGTTTAAACCCTGAAAAACAAAGACATCTTAGCTCCAATTCTGATTTCTTTTCTGAACTGCAGATTTGAACACGGGTTCCAACTGCCTGGCTGCAAATCTGTCACATTTACCTTGTCATTGACAATTAAGATCTTCCATAGCTATTTCTCTACCAAACCTCCTGACCGCAATAAAAAGTGGTTGAATTTTCTAGTGTCCTCAAGCCAAAGTTCTTAGCTTGTTTGTTTATATGCTTCAGCGATACCATCAGAAAGGTAATATGTCCAGCACATGTCCTTACTCATGCTGATGTCACTTGGGAGCTTATCGTCATTGTCTTTGGCAAGGACCTGATCCTAGATGTTATGATTTTAAATCTTGCTCTTGGATGTTTAGATGATAAGTTTCTCTGCAGAAAAAAAGTAGAAAGGAGCCTACTTTTAGTTCCCTGTGAGTCTCCAAACGCCAATTCTTCACAAAATACCTCCACATTCTTTCAAAGGGCCTCTGCATACAGACTGTGTGGGGACATTTAGAGTATGTCTTCATACCCAGAGCAGTTGTTTTCTGTCACTTCTCCATGGAGCTGATCTCAACCAGATCAAGTATTTCTTAATAATACTACATTCTAGGGATGACACACATCTTGGATCTGCCTAAATAACTGCTAAAGTCAATATCCATCAACAAAATTTAAAATATACACTCTGTGTTCAACTCAATAAGGCCACATTCTAGGGGTGGTATACATCTTAGATCTGCCTAAATAACTGCTACAGTCAATATCTATCACCAAAATTTAAAATATATACTCTGTGTTCAACTTGGACACCTTGGGAAGATAGAATAATCACACTTGTTAAGGACGGTTTATGCTGAAGACATTAGTTGTGCCAGAGTGGGACTAAAGATAAGCAATAAAATAAACATGAGAATACTAGCCACAAGGTCTCTGGCCTTCCTTGAGCTCCTTATATGAATTTCCCTCTTCTATTGACCCAAAGCCAAGAACTATTTTATTCTGAGACCTAGTTAGAAGTGGTTCCCAATGTCTGGACATGTGATCAGTTAGATTAAGCAGTAGATAGAAAGTCATCTGTGGAGTGAGTCAATCCCAATTCAGTTCTGGGCCACAGAAGCTGGGAGAATCTAAACATGAAAGAAAAATAAAAAGCAGTAAGGCATAGGAGTTAATTCCACAGGGCATGATCAAGCCGGAAAGTGAATGGAATTTTAGGGTGAAGAGAAAGATAAGACAGGCACCCAGGCTGGACGAGTGAGGAAAAGTGCACAAGTTTCAAAGCAACAGCCAGACAGAATTATGCTAAAGTTAGCTAGGCAGACTTAACAGGAGTGGAGGCATATAGTCTTACACAGTTAAGATTTTCAGGCACAGTGACGTAGGGACTTGGAACTTGGCAGCCTCTTTACTTGCTGTCTTAGTTGTCAATCTCAGGCAGGTAACATGGAGTCCAGAAGCCAAGAAAGACACGGTCTCTCCTTTGCCTGCAGTGTGTCAGTCTTTGTGTTCAGCACCAAGGAAGTATTTCCTCATCGATTCCTTAACAGTCTGTTAAGGAGGAGAGTTATTATCCCTATTTTACAGGGTAAATTAGAATCAAATCAATCAGGCACACAATCAGAGAGCTGCAGAGTCAGGGTTTACACCTGCTCATTCTGACACTGCAGCTCATGCTGTTAACTATAGCATTAAACACTGAACCCTGAGCCCTGGGGCTGGAGAGCCATCCTTTTCTGAGTAACCAGACAGTCCACAGCTTGAGGGTAGGAATGGATTGCTTTCATCTGGGTCAACAGCATCTGGAACAGGAATGTGCAGGTGCTCCATGAAAATGTATTACACTAAATTGGGTTAATCTCATCTTTCAAATAATCAAACGTGTGAGAATTATGTGAGCTGATCATTTGAAAATGCCAATGAAAGTTTTTACATCAATTTTTTTCTTAAGATATTGTTTGACAGATTCATAACTTTACATAATGAGTATTAGTTGTTAAGAGAAGCTTTTTCCTTGCTAGCCGCTTTGGTTTATCCCCCGCCAGTCGCCTGGGCTCTGCCGCGCCAGCCTGTTTCGAGATCCCCATGAGTCCCAAATAAACACACAGGAGGCTATATTAATTATGAAGCTGTTGGCCTTGCTTGTCTCTTACTGGCTAGCTCTGCCTTAAGTAATTACCCCATAATTGTTAATCTAAGTATGTCTCTTACCGGAGAATAGTTCCAGGCTTCCTACCCCCAATGGCGTTACATGTTGACTCTCTTGTCTTTTTCTTTCCCAGAATCCTCCTCGACTCCTAGTCCCTCCTATCTAGGTTTTCTATTGGCCAGACAGTACTTTATTGACAAGTGCACAGGCAAATAACAGGACTTCCCCAACATCTCCTCTTTTCTGTTTAAACAAAAGAAAGGTCTTAATTTTAACATAGTCAAATTGTATATGACAGAACAGTTATCAAGTAAGAACATAGTTACAATATTTTAGCAAGATTTAAAGAAAATATCATCCATCCCATCCTTGTGAGTCCAAAGTCCTATATGTAGCTTATCTTTTATCATAACTAAGGAAAACTATAATTATAACTATCTGTCTTCAACTCCATCAAAGACCACAGAAGGATAATATATAAACACTAGGATTGACAGAGACATCTTACTGCCTGGACAGTCACCCGAAGTTCCTCTGTAACGTTGGGGCATCCATCTTCAGCCCATAGGCCACAATGTGTTTGGAATACTTCTCAGCAAAGCAGGAAATTTCAAACTGTCCATCTGCGTTGGCGTCTCTCAGTCATTTTTCTCTGTCCTGCAGAAAGTCTCGTAGACTCTTCATCAAGCAGGAACCCTGTAAGACTGAGTTCAGTAGTCACTTTCCTGTGGGTCCTGCATGTCCAGATGATACAACAACAGTCAAACAATCTAGGCAAGAGCAGTTTCTTGCCCAAATGGCTAATCTTGCCATGTTGAAAGCAAACTTTATAACGAGTTTCTTCGATGCCCATCTTCCTCTCAGATGTAATTGGTGCTGCCAGGAGCAGACACTTCTCATTGTCAAGACAAACCCTAAACCATTTTAAATGCCATGTTCTGAAGGTCTTTGAGAGGTTTGAAGACTGTCCATCTCAAATATATTTCTGTATATCTAGAAACCTAACTTATGTAACTAGAAATTCTATTATAAGTAACTATCTATAGTCTGTATTCAATTATGCATTACGTTGTAAAAGATCAGTATAAGCACAATACTTAATCAAGAGGAGAAATATAAGCATCACAAAATTGACCTTGATTTTGTCTCAATAAATGAAAAACAATACCCATACCATAATTCCCCTTTTTACCATTAAAAAAGATTGGCTGTGATCACTAGCCAATTATAAACAATTCCATTCAAATGAAAACAAAGATTTATAAACAAGATGGGAATTGGGATGTCGCTCATTCCAAACTGCTTCCTGCTGGAAGGGGGCGCTGTTTATACCATGGGGATCATGACAAAACTCAGAAACCTGTATAAGTCCATATTTTCGGGGTCTGTAAGACTGCATCATCTTCGCTGTTTCGATTGTTGGAACACCTGGTCCACTGCTTCCGGGGGTCTTGGTTCGTCAAACCACAAAAGCCTGGAAGGAATCCTCAGCTTTTTATGTTCTGTGGAAACATAAATTAAAACTCCTTTTCCGAGTTTTAAGTACATATCCTTGTACTTAAAATTTGAAGTCAAGGCATTTTCAAAAGATAGAAGTTGGATTAATTCAGCAGCATTTATAATCAAGTGTACTTTAGCATTTGTTCCTTCCTTAGCAATCAAAAAACTGAAAAACACAATAGCGTACAGTATCCAGACTCTCTGTGTATTTTCCATCTTTACGTGGCTTTTTTATTTATCTATTATTACTTTATTTATTTTACTTTTATTTATTTTTCTTTGAGACAGGATTTCTCTTTGGAAATCTGCCTGCCTCTGCCTCTGGAGTAAATCCTACTGGCGTGCGCCATCACAACGCCGGCTTTTGTATTTATATACCACTTTGTCGTTTCATTTTCTCTCTCAATCTCACGTATATTTTTAAACACACTGTAAACCTTTAGAGATTTTTCTTTATCCAAGTCTGACTTTACTGTAAATCTTTATGTTTTTCTGGCCACGTGTCTTATCTGTAAAACCGTGGCTGTTTTAAACTGCCGTTTTTTTTTTTTTCAAGATGGCGGGCGTAAGCTTGATTCCAGATTACTGCCTCAGTCCATGCTGACATCCAGCAAAAGCTGCCACTTCCAGCTGTATGTACACACTTTTCAATCGTTAGCAGAGTCTCTTAAAACAATCTTGCTGTTTTTTTTTTTTTTTTTTTTAATGCCGAGTCAGGAAGACTCCCGTAAGCGAGCCACGTGAATCTCGGCTTGTCGCTAGCAAAACAGAGCACACCTGAAAAAATGCTGCTACCAAAATCTATGCTTCTCTCCGTTCTTCTGTTTCTAAAATTCCTTTAAAGCTTTTGTTGTTTTGCGTGGAAATTCAATCCCACTCCTGACAACCATTATGTTAAGAGAAGCTTTTTCCTTGCTAGCCGCTTTGGTTTATCCCCCGCCAGTCGCCTGGGCTCTGCCGCGCCAGCCTGTTTCGAGATCCCCATGAGTCCCAAATAAACACACAGGAGGCTATATTAATTATGAAGCTGTTGGCCTTGCTTGTCTCTTACTGGCTAGCTCTGCCTTAAGTAATTACCCCATAATTGTTAATCTAAGTATGTCTCTTACCGGAGAATAGTTCCAGGCTTCCTACCCCCAATGGCGTTACATGTTGACTCTCTTGTCTTTTTCTTTCCCAGAATCCTCCTCGACTCCTAGTCCCTCCTATCTAGGTTTTCTATTGGCCAGACAGTACTTTATTGACAAGTGCACAGGCAAATAACAGGACTTCCCCAACAATTAGTCATTTCAACCCCATTCTGTCTCATTCCCCAGCACCCTACTCCCACTGAATATCCTCTTCCCAATAAGTCCTCAATGACTTCTTTTTGTTTGTAACCCACTCAGTTTAAATAGTGGTTCTCATCCAAGTGTGTGTGAAAGGTTATTTACTGGATCAGAGGTGTCCATTGTAGAAATGATGCCTCTTTTCCCAAAACTGTTGCTTGACAATAACCCCTCAGGAAGGGATAGGCTTCTAGGACCTTGTCCTTTCCTCAGTGAAATGGTGATGTTCTCAGTCATGTGCAGGTCTCCTGGAGTTAACCAGAGCTGCAGTAAGTTCGTGAGTGCAACATTCACGTCTACAAGTCATGTCGAGAAGATGTCATCATGGTGCACCTTCGAGTATTCTCACATTCTGTCTATTCCTTCTTACACTTTGCTGTCTGAGCCTTCAAAGGGGTGTGATGGAGTGTACTCCTTTATGGGCTATCAATCCACCATCACTTATTCTTAGCTCTTTGGGCAGTTATGGATGCCTACATTAACTGCTTCCTGCTATACTAAGCAGCACTAACCTATGTGAAAACAGTGTTTGGGAGGCATTTTAGTAACATGGACATTTAACAAAACAATAGTAATATGTCTTTCCCATCTAAGGGCTCTTAACAGATTTACAGTATCAGGCATGAGTTCATTCCTGTCAAGCAGGCCCCAAATACAATCAGGAAGTGGTTAGTTATGCCTACAACAGTCATGCCATTATGGACTTGGAGGGTACATCTTGCTTTTCAGGTCATAAATGTAGCTTGCAGGATTCACAGCGAGGTAAGAGCTATAAAGATACTGTATCCTTTAGTCACAGTGCAGGAAAGACATACTGGAACTGAGCTGGAAGCTTCCTCCTTACAGGCCAGCCTTCATTGTGCTCAAAAGTTCTATACAGGCAGCTGGTTGAGAAAAGTGCCTCCATTTTTATCTGTTCTACTCAACCAGACTTACCATCATTTTTCTGCATATTATGCTTAATGGATTTCAAAACACAAGTCATATGGACTTGCTATCTGTTCTTGGAAAACCAACAACCATGTTTTCACTATAATATTTTATAGAACATCAGAGAACATTGCTATGGTGACAATAACACATGCACATGTCTCTTCCTGGCTTTTCTTTCTTGCTCAGAGGTGTGTGAGGATAATCTTTCCTGCAGGACTCTATCATTGTCTCCTAACTTACAGATTCTCCTTACTTAATGGAGTAAAATCCTTTGTTGAAATATCAAGTCTCTATAGAGCTAATCTCCATGCTTAGTCCTTAGGCTAACAGTATCAGTACTTAATGGAAACTTGTCATACATGCAAATTATAAGCCCTAACCCAAGATCATTGAACTAGATGCCCTGAAGGTGGAGCCCAATATGTGCCTTTCAGGAAATTTACTTGTATTGCAAGGTTTGATATCTTAGGCTCAGGAGAAGCTTCACTTGCTGTAGTGATAACTGATAACAAATGGGGACACTGGCATTTAATTTCTGCATCCTATTCCTTGTTTAGCAGTTGTTACCACCCAGGAGAATCACATCCAGCATTGAAACTTTCTTTCATTCTCAAGAGTGTTTGGTGTGAGCCTTGATGTTCAGGTACTCGGTCGGCTTTC